GTCATTATGGGAGGATCCTGGATTACGCTGACCTTGGCAATGTGCCTGATGACAATCATTCTGCTGCTGGCAGTGCGACGGGGGAAATTTTTGTATGCTCTACGGAAAGTGCCTTACCCTCCAGCATTTCCTATCATCGGGAATGCTTATCAGCTGTGCTGCAGCCCGGAACGTAAGTAGAAATGCAATTTGGTGACCGATGAAACGAAACTTAGAAAATTAACAATTCCAACTGCACTCGCCAAGCTGTAACATTAACTATAACATTGTTGCATTTAGCAGAAACTGAATTATACGCGTAAATTAACATTTTTAGGAATCAAATGTTAATTGCATAAATTATAGTTATAATTCAAAATATTAAGAGGTAATTTTTATTTTGTTTTCAAATTGACGTCTTGCAGTCCAGATATATACATATTAGGACAATGAAAAAGATTATACTAAAAATTATCAGATAGATTCTTAAAAATGTATGTCCTGTAAAAAATAATGCACATATTTTTTACATAATGTACATGGAATTAATAAATACATAGGATGTTATAGAAATGCTATTCTTTCGGAATTTATTTTCAGAAATTCGTCAACCAACATATATAATACATATTTATTTATTTATATATATATATATTTTTTGCTTTCGGAAAAATAGTGGACAGAATTTATGCAACAATCTAATACGTACGTATATACTATGTATTCTTCAAATTGCACGACCTGTATATATGTATACATGCACACACATACACACAAAATTCTATCCGTTAGTTTTCCTAAAGCAAAAAATACAACTCTCTTACACACTGAGGAATTGATAGTTCAAATACTGTTTAGAAAGTTTGAACCTGGTTGGCAAATATAATGTAACACAGAGCCCATTTTTTTATAAAATTAAATTACTGTGTATTGTATTTTCGAAAAGATCAAAATTCTTGCAGCAACCTTATATAATACCTGTGCACTCAATATTTGAATGACACGTCTGTATTACAATAATACCAAAATTTGCAGAAATTTTTTGCCCTTACACCAACATTTTTTTTTAATTATTTCAGTATAAATATGTATGTATTCCAAAAAGAGAACCGGCAAAGTTTATTAGACTTTATATAATAATTTTATGGACGACAACCGAAGAACCAACTTGTGTCAAAATTTTACGTTGTATAATCAAAAATGATAAGTAATACATGCTATAAATAATAATTATCGAAAAGTTATTATATAAATATTACGACCGTAGTAAGTGTTTACTTTAAAAGGTATCCAACATGTTGACATTGAAAATCAGTAAAAATTTATTGGATCAATTATCGTTCGAAATTTTACGTAGATCACATAATTCACAAAAACAGATTAAATAAATTTTATCAACACATTACCAGTAGTATGTATGATGCGAGGCATAAAGGTGAAGTAATTGTCCGTAAGACAATTATTATCCAGTGGAAAGATTTTATTATGCGTAAACAAATACGAATATGACTTCCACAAAATAACGTTTGGTACAGTCTATCAAACTTATTTCGGAAAAATATTATTCACTTTGAAATTTCGGAATACGACGGAAATTCCTTCGTAGTCTTGTAAATATGTATTATTGCTAGAACAAAATGAACACTTTAGATACACTATCGAATCATATTTTCAGAGAATTATTATAATATATCACACTTAATTAAACAGCTCTGTCGAAGCCAATACCAACAATGAACGAATAGCGTCGAAAAACTAATAACAAACTGTTCATTCTGCGATCTTAAGTAGTACACGTGTTTAAGTTAACACTAAAATTGAAGGTTTACGGAATGTCTACAGATATTCAATTGTATCGTAAGTAAGAAATCAAAGTCCTTTTCGGCACACACGCACGCACTATCGCGAATACTAATGGGGTCGATGAACAAATCGTACATTAATCGTCAGAGATAAGGCATGTATTTTGGAAACAAGTTGTCTGCTCTAAATATGAAAAGCAAATGAATTGGTGCGAGTGCACGCGCGAAAGAATCGGGGGAAGAAAAGAAGAAAAGAGGATTTATCCACCTCGGTCGTTCTGAATACTGAAGATAATCGTTAGCCTCTTGGGCGGAACGAGACGAAGGAATAAGCAGGTCGAGGTCGTTCGTGGCGTGAATACGATGCCACGATGCCATATATAATTGTATGTAATTGCACAAAAGTACATAGGTATGTTACAACAGAAATGGGGGTTGTCTGTAAAGAAAGTTTTTTTTTAAAGAGATTCTATAAGCCTCAATTGATTTGAAGTGCTGTCGTGGGTCAAAGTCACGGTTCTAGTTGTAGGTCATTCATGATTTACAGTTGGTCAGAAAAGGTTTCTGTCAGGGGTGTGCGGGTACCCGAAATCACGGGATTCCCGAGACTCGGGTCGGGTCGGGAAAAGTCGGGCGAGAGCGGCCGGGAACCCGACAGTAATAATCGCATCGGGTTCCCGACAGATGTCGGGTCCCGTGAGATCTTCGGGTCCCGTAATATATTCGGGTCCCGAAACATATTCGGGTCCAGAATGATATTTTCGAGAACTTATCAATCTAACGGCAAAAACGTATACTATACGATACGATGCCATATTGAATCTTCAGGTTCATGATATGAACTATAAATGGTAAATAAGTTAACGATATCAAATGGAATCCTGCGGTTGGACAGGGTTAATAATACAGTTTTCAGTACACATTTCTTCGTACGTTATGTTTTTATTAAGTAAAATAAATAAACTGGCAGTATTAGGGACATTTAATCTATCATGCAACATACAGGCATATATAATATTATTATAAATTATAATGTAAAACACATAATTATTGCCAGACAATGTCGAGGAATTCGACTTCGTTTCGCTGAATTGAAATCGTTAAATATTCTGAATAAGTTCAGAAACGATAAGACATGCACGTAATGCAGCGATACGAAGATTGCAACTTTGCATTGACGCAAACGGTAACCACTTCGAGCATCTTCTGTAATGTAAGAAAGTTTATTTTACTACCACATTTGACCTTGCATGACCTTCAATGATAGCTCGCTGAAGTCGTCTCAACAACGGCTATCACATCGCGATAAAAAAAACATAGCATTCCATTAAAAAAAATAGAGATGACCTTGAAATCTCCTCTATACCTTCACCCACGCAAAAAATGTTTGTGTCACAATATGCCCCCCTTTATACCGTGTAAGTTTTGTATATAACATTTTTTCATATTATTACAAATAACGACAATATTCAAAGTGGATATAGTTATTGCCCACCCTGTGTATACAGGGTGACAATGAAATACCCGCAATACTTTCGAAGACGATAACTCTATGAAAACTTATCGAATTAAAACAATTTTTATTTTATTCTAAAGAATACAAAACGGTAAATAAAATTTTACAATAAGTATTCAAAATGTCCTCCTTTAGCCTTCGCACTAGCTCAGAGACGCTTCTTAAAATTATTTGTGACGGTCGCAAACTCTTCAGTAGTAATTTGATTCCAGGCTCTTTCTAAAGCAGACTTTAACTGTTCTACGGTGATGTATTTTTTAGAGGAGATTTTTCTCTCCAAAATTGACCAAACTGAATAATCTATTACGTTGAGATCGGGTGAATTTGATGGACATATCGTTCTATCCCACACCTCCGAAAACAGCTCTTTGCACATTCTCATTGTCGATTGGGCCGAATGCGCCGGAGCCCAGTCTTGTTGTAAAATGCACTTATTCTTTCCGAAGTGCTGACGTGCCCACGGATAGAATGCATCTCTAAGGATGCGTTGTTGATAGGTGATGGTGTTGATTTTTAAGCCTTTGTCGACTAAAACCAACGGCGTTTTGCCTGTCGCACAAATGCTGGCCCAAACCATTCCAGAAGTCGGAAAATGGCGACGTTGCACAGAAACTCGTCTTGCTGACTTATTTGAGCCCTTTGGCAACAATTGTCTATCGTTCTGACGGTTATGACGTCGCTCAATTATAAACATTTTTTCATCCGTAAAAAGCACAGAACGGTGACGACCACACGCAACCAACTGAAGAAACTTCCTTACTTTCTTCCTTCGCTGCTTTATCATTTCTTCCGTCAGATAATGACACCGAACCAGCTTATAAGAATGGCATTTTAGGCCGTTTTTGACCATCAATCGAAGTGATCCGCGGTTAATGCCAATGGTTTTAGCCATTCGTCGCATTGATTGGACGGAATTGCGATAAATTCGGTAACGTATTTTGTTGAGATTATCCGAAGTAATAACTGTTGGTTTTCGTCCCTTTCCTTGTCTATTTTCACATCCACCAGTCTCCTTGTATCGTTTAATAGCGTCGTACACGGTTCTAAGTGGCATTTTGAGCAGTTTCGATATAGCTTTTGCTTTATGTCCCTTTTTGTACAAATTTGTAGCCGAAATACGAGCTTCTTTCGCCATTTTTGAATCGTATAATGTCATAAAAGTTCGTAGAGGGCAGCACTAGGATATACAGAATTTCCCGCGGAATTCAAATATAGCATTCATTGTAAACGAAAAATAATAAAAACAGGACAAACATCTGAGCAAAAAAAATTGCGGGTATTTTATTGTCACCCTGTAAGAAAACACTGCTGTATACAGGGTGGTGCACGCAACTTGTTCATCCTGAATAACTTCTAAAGTATGCATTGTATGAAAAAAATGTTGTATAGAAAAGTTGTATGGTTTGGAGGGATATATTATGTAATTCATATATTTTTTTGTATGTGGAGGCGTTTCGGAGATTTGAAGGTCAACTTCGTTTTTTTAAATGGAATACTATACTCTTTATGCCAAAATATCGAAGAGAGTTGAATTCTGAGTAAAACATTATTCACCTTTATTAGCTCTAAATCTAATAATTAACGAATAATTTCACCTCGTCTCTTGAAAATGTACTGTGCGTAGTATCAAGTTGGAGATTTTATATCAGTGTTTATCAACACTACACTTAGTAGTTATTCAACATATTCATATTATATTATCAACACTAGACACATGATCGCAATCGCCTATTCTGTTCGTGTTTCAGTATTAAAGTTATCATCAGTGTTTGTACGTGATTATCTCAGTGAGATAAAGGCAAAAATGAAATTCAATAGAGTGAAAAATTGGACATGCTTTTAGTTTATAGTGCCGTACGAATACTCGATGCAGAAACAATTCAGAGTACAGTTTCCTCGTTGTTTAATAGATTGCATAATTAATATGAATGGACACTATTTCAGACACCTACGTCAGTGAATGGTAAAAGTCTCACAGAAATCTTTGCTGGTAACGAATCTCCAACTTGATACTACGCACAGTACATTTTTACGAATCGAGGTGAAATTATTCGCTAATTATTAGGTTCAGAGCTAATAAAGGTCAATAATTTTTTACTCAGAATTCAACACTCTTCGATATTAAAGGAAGATAAAAAAACGAAGTTGACCTTCAAATCTCCGAAACTTACAAAACAAATATATGCATTACATAATGTATCCCTCCAAACCATACAACTTTTCTATAAAAAGTTTTTCCATAAAATACATACTTTAGACTTTAGAAGTTATTCAGGGTGAAAAAGTTGCGTGGACCACCCTGTATATAACGAAATATTCATTTTAAATAAAAACATTCATTTTTTAAGGATCTTTATATAATTTTATAAAAACAAAACATTTTTTTTAATTTTCATTTTCATAAAATAAAACAAAGATCTTTAAAAAATGAATGGTTTTATTTAAAATTAATATTTTATTCCACATATAAGTAAGAAACTAACGGATAATAGTTGTAATAATAATGTTATGATTTTATAAATAGCGACACGAATTTATGTACATAATCCACTAAATATGGCTACATGTCATGTGCTATTTTATCTAATATAAATTGTGCGCTTGACAGGTTCTACAGCCCCCCCCCCCTCATGCCTACAAGTAGAAACTCTCACGAAAAACTTCCTATCCTACTCTCATGAAGCCTTTACTGTAGTTCTTATTTAATAAGAATATAGTACATACTATGTCAACCTCTCTCAACGTTTGTTTTGGAAAAGACATACTACTACATCATCCGACATCAAAGTGTTGTCAATGAAAAGTTTATTATGAAAGATGTTCGAACTGATGAGCGTTATTACTAATACAGAAATCTGTTTAATTATTTGAGATTTTGCACGTGCACTAAAGATAGTCTTTGCATGCTTTCTGGAGTCGTCGATGGTTCAATAAAATTCAATAAATCCCAGTTACAATAAAAATTTCATTGTAAATATCTCAACAAATACCTACTCTGGATCTATTATACATTAATACTTATTTACCCAGTCTCTAATAAGCATTTACTTTCCGTAAAGAAGTATAGGGTGCTTTACTTAAAACAAACAAGATAACTTCGCGAAAATGGAAGTGCCAAAACTAAACTATCGCGAACAATATTAAACATTCCGTAAGTTTTTTTAAAAAATTTACCACTCAAATCACGTTACTTTACAACGAACACAATTATTAAATTTACTTCTATTAAAATGCTGCCATCTATTGACCAGCGGGCTGTAGCATTTTGTACGGAAATTCTGAACTAATTTAAATAATTTTCTGTATAACTAGTTTATTGCTTAATTTCTTACATTAAGTAAAAAATATACGTACTGACCAGAAATCGGGACATTGACCTTATATGATAAGAAATCCCCAATTAAGGAAATTCGAATGCCACCCTCGAAGGCAGATAGCAAGAGAATGGTAAGATGACGAAATTAGTCTACGCATCGAAATCCACCACTGTCTGAAGGACGCCAAGCGTCTCGTTGCACTTCAAGGTCTACGAGATAATATCTGTTCCTTTTGTTGAGTTTATATTACTCGATGACTTCGTCTTGCAAACATGCATGTTGCCATTTTTACCGGTCAACGTCCGGCAATCGAACAGCCACTCCTTTACTAGAACTGCAACGCGACTTTATCTTTCTCTTTTCATTTTCGATCAGTCAATCCTCCTCATCGTCTTTCTGTCGTCGTATCGTTTCTTTTTCGACGTTTTATTCATGTTGCGAAAACAAAAAGGGCCTTGAGATACAGTAATAATGACGACTGACCATGACTATCCGTAGACTAGGGTCGATGACCATCAACATTCGCATGGAAACATTAAAGATATAATACCGAACAAACCTTTTCTTGTTGCTATATGAGAAATAAGCGTACTACTAATTTTCAATTAAGTATACGTAGTAACAAATCTATGTAGAAGATTGCGAATTTGTATGCAAAATGACATTTTTTAAAATAATTTTTGTAGACAACAGCAAAGATTGGAATTTCTTTCTTTTCTTAAATATTTTATTGGGTTCAAAATAAAATAGAAAACATTTTACATCTGACGAAAGTTCTTTCTCTATTGTATTACACAAAAGCCCTATTGGCTATAAATGCATAAAATCCGCAGTCCAGTAATGAGTGTAAAAGGAATTTCAGTATATTTAATGAATGTTAACGGTAAATACAGTTCTTCGATAATAAGAAAAATTTTAATCACTTTTTGATGATAATATTAACAAAATTAGATTACAAAATTAACACATTTTGAAGATTCCATACTAAAGGGTTTTCCAATAAGAACGATATGATTTTACAATGAAATAAAATAAAAAATTTAACGTGATTAATATAAGTTGTCTTTGCGCTCGGCACTCGGGGGCTCGCGGCAGGGAAAAACCCTTGTTCATGCGCACTGATTGAACGAGCCTAGCTTGAATATGAGCCATTTTCACCTGCAGGGCACTCTGGTGAGACCTCTCTGCTAAGTAACACCTCAAGGAGAAGACGTACCCACGTGGTAACATGGCACTCCTAGCGGTATACACATATAAGCAGAAGGCTCAGTACCAAAACTCCTATCCCACCATTCCACTCTAGAGGAAGACGCTTCCTACGCGGTACGGCACCTCTAGGTTTCTCCCTCCTTCGTTTCTCCTCTCCGTCGCACCGTGAAAAAAGACGTGCAGACGGCACTTTCCACTAATGATGGGCAGCATCGACTAAAAACTATCGACTAAGTCGGTAGTAACCAACGACTACTTTTAGTCGACTAATTTTTTCAGTCGTCGACTACTTTAGTCGCTTGAAGCGACTAACTTCAGGCGAATAATATTAGTCGCTTGAAGCGACTACTTCAGTCGATTAAATATAGTCGCTTCAAGCGACTCGCTCGAACTATCGAGCTATTGATCGCTATTGACTGGATCTTGATTATTTTCTTCGCGATGCAAACGAATTGTAATTTTTCCATATATTTTTTTATGCATTACCAAGAACTGTGCAAATTATTGCTTATAACCTAATTGATTTTCATAAAAAATTTAGAGCAGTTAATTTTTTTAAGCGCCAACATTAAATAGCTTACAAAAAAAGCGAATATTAGTAATTGTTTAAAAAAACTTGTTTACCACTTATATTTTTGAAATTCTATCTATGAACTAATACATTTCCAAAAGGTAAATACACCAATAGTGCTGAAACGTTGATGACATTATCTATACATAACCTATAAAGCAAAATTTCAGTCGATAGTATGTTGCGACTAAATAATCATTAGTCGATAGTTTAATTTAGTCGATGGTGCCCATCACTACTTTCCACGTTTCCTTTTCTCTCGCTCTCTCTCACTCACCCCAGTCCGCACCCATTCTTACCCCCACTCTGAGGTACTGGGACCGAAGCAGAGTTTATCGCGACGTCCGGGGAAAACCAGTATCGCAAAATCTTTAATCTCCGTGCGTTTGTGTATTTAGTCTGATTGTTGTTTTATTTATTCTTTGGACGAACCCTTCTCCGGGGAGAAAGTGTATATTTGTATAAATAAAAACTACTTACAAATTACGTCTACAAAACTATTTTAGATGCAACCAAATTTTTTTTATTATTTTGAAGTACAGTTTATTACAATTTTATTAAAATATTCAACACAATCTTATACGGTTGTGAACCCAAGTCTTTTCGCAAAATACGCCAAGTTGTCGTGTTTCTAAGCCTTAATTCTTGAGCAGGACGAGGAATCGATAAATTTGGGACCTCTGCAACACTATCTCTTACAGCAGCAATGTTCTCTATACTTCTTGCATTTCGAGATTTTCTGTAAAATCCCTTTGAAATTTTTCAATGATTCGACGAATAGCAAGCACAGAAGGAGTTGAGTATTCACAAAAGAACGTCTATTTCCATAAATTTTTTTGATAATAACCAAACGTTCTTGAAGCGTGTACTTGGCCATGATAAATTGTCAGAGTATACTAAACACAAATGACAACTAGTAACAGTTATAACTAGACTGCGGATTTTTATGCAAAATGATATTTTCTAAAGCAATTCATACAGAGAAGAGCAAATGTAGGAATTTCTTTCTTTTCTCAAGTATCATATTCGGTTCCGTATAAACCACAAATCTTATTGGATTTGATGAAAGTTTTGTCCTTTATTATATTTTATAGGCCCCTATAGGCTATAAATGCATAAAATCCGCAGTTTAGTTATAACATTTTAAACATGGTTGCTATTTCATTTTAAAATCATATGATTCTTATTGAAAAACCAATAAGAAAATACAACAAAAAAAATCGATTTTTTTGATCGGTAACACTAGAATACTCTCTTGAAGTTTTGTAAAACTGAGTTGAGATACAAAAGAAATTGATCGTTTTCTGTGTAACAATTCAATACGTTGCTCTTCTAAATCCCTTTAATGAAAAATATGAATTTATTTCTTACAGAAGCCTTTAAAAAGATGATCAAATGGGGAAAGGAATTGGGGGATCTCTACCTGATTTGGGTAGGCATGCGTCCCTTTATCTTCCTCTATAAAGCAGAAGCGATACAACCATTGCTGAGCAGCAGTGTTCACATTGACAAAAGTCTAGAATACGAGTATCTGCAACCTTGGCTTGGTACCGGCTTGGTGACTAGCACTGGTAAGTATATGAAACGTGCTACTTTGTTGTCTCATTAATTACCATTGCAGATGGTTAACTAGATTTACAATTGTGCGCTTGATTTGTTTTCCACGTTGATTTCCACGTACGATAGGGATAATACACTGTTTCCTATTCATAATGTTGCATGCAAATTTGATTTCTATCATGTATACTGCCCGTAGATTTATAGACCGGGAGTATTTGAATAGCTTAAAGTCACACAGATTCTGGAACGTAATAACAAAAGATCGATGAAGATAGAAAAAGAATTTAACACTAAACGTACCGGTACTTTACGAGTACCTATTCTTACCATAAGGGGTGAAATGACCTCTCGTGGTACATAAGGTATGAAAAGAATTTCTCTCGTTACAAAATAAGCTTACGAGAAAAATGGAAAGCGAGACATTGAATAATCAGATAATATAAGAATTTACAGAAAGTCAGATGAGCGAAAGAAATAACAATGAATACAGATACGTATTTACGATTTTAAAGTAAATTTTGGAAGTGGTCATCTGACCCCGCTTGGTACGTTTAGTGTTAAAGACCAGTCAGAATTGAACTACCAGACTATTTTTATTGTATCTGTAGTAAATTGATATTCAAATCGAAAAAGGAAATATTTTTAAACACTATATGACATGTGCCATCCATCTCACGTAGTGCATTGTCCTTGGTTTATGAAAAGAAATTTCGCGAGATGGAGTATCTATTACTGAGGAATAAAATTATTAACTCTAGATTGATCCAGAAACGAGCGGCAGGCATCAAAAGATGTAAGAATTGTTAGATTTACAGCAGTTGTAAAGAAATAAACATTTTAATTTTAATTAATAGTCCAAAATAAACATTTTTAATCCACTGTATAGTACATGCTGCAACTTTGATTGAAATCGGTTAATACAGGAACGAGTAACAGGTATCGAAATATGTAAAAATCTTTGAAATAAAACCATTAAGAATCTTTGAAATAAAACTATTTATTTTCTAAGGATCTTCGTTTCATTCTATGAAATTAAAAATTAAAAAATATACCTTTTACATGTTAAATGCTAAAAAACTATGTATATATATGGACCGTTTATTTTGAAAGTGGTGTAAGTTCTTTTTTAAAAAAAATGAGATATGACGTAATTTATGTTTAATTTAGTGTAAACTTTTTGTTTATAACTAGTTAGTATTGAATATCTTAAAAAATGCCACTGCTTTGTTAAAAAAAACCTATATTTTTTAATTGTCAGATCTGCTAACATTTAATTTTCTCGAAACAAAAGAAAATGGACTTGCACCACTTTCAAAATAAACGGTCCATATAGATGTAATAGTAAACACTGCATATCACATTCTTAATTAAATAATATTAAATTAATAAGGGCGGCGATACTGTTTTTGCACACGGGCGGCCAACAACTCAGAAGCGGCCCTGGTTAGGGCGGTCGTACATATACCTGTCTAGTTGTAAAATCAATCGGGGTCTGTGTTCGCTAAAGCACTATCACCGGATAAAGATAAGACGTAACAAACAAGCAATGCTCAATCAATTCACGGTCCTAAAACTTTTATTATATAGACAATTGAAGCAGAATTGCTTTACATATTTAAACAATTCGTTGAAGTTCTGGTTAAACTGTCTATTTAATAATGGTTTTACAATCGTGAATTACGCGCTTTATCTATTCCTTACGCCGACTTAGGCAGCGCGCGGTGAAGATAACTTCCATACATGCAGCCTCAATTTGAACTATTTGAGGATCAACCAGCAAGACATACGGTAACATAATTACCTAAAAATCGTTAATGTGCACTATCTGTTTGATTATACGCATTCAAGTACTCCAACGTACACAGAATACGAGAAAACTGCAAACATAAATAATAACCTTTTTAAGAATGCAAAAGTAAAAATTCCAGTGTATCCATATTTTATATTTGAGTATATAGTTTTCATATTCAAATGTATAAAACAATTAATTAACATTTGGCCACAAAACTGAACACAAAATGTTATGTTTTCAATATCTTGTTTAAAGAAATAGACTATTCTGGATTCCAATCGGGTAGCTGGATTTCTTATAAAAAAACACACAATATTGCAATTTATACCGTTCTTATATCTCTAACAGTTTCCGAGATATTCGGCAGAATACATTTCACACCCCTAACTTTAAGGGTGGTTTTCATCCGTTTAACGTGGATAAGAGCAGCTAAAAGAAAATATGTGTTAAATATTTTTATGAGAACTACGATCTCACAGTTTCCTCAAAATCGGCGATTGTCAATTCGGGATGTACCCTTGTTAGGTGGAATTATTTAGTCCTAAATAGGGCATTTTATTTGCCTAACTGCGACCGCACTGCTTTGTCCAAAGCAGCTTATGTAGTCACCTTTATTTTTCTCAAAGTCCGAACTCCTAATTACGCATCCTGTACTAATGCCCACAGGAATCCCCCCTACCACAGAGTGTTAGTACATATACAGGGTGTTTCATTTAACTTGACAATTCGAAATATCTCGAGAAATACGCATCGTACGAAAAAACTGTTTCAAATAAGCCCTCAATATTTTCAAAGGGGCCATCCCCCTGTGTTAAAATTAGCCCGCCTCCACAGCCCTCGGGGGGTAGGGCAGGCAATTTAGTAATCTTAAGTGGAAACCCCCTTCTTCTTCCCCTCTTCTACTCTGCTGTCTAACTCTTGTCTTAATTTTTTAATAAACCATCCACACCTTCCATACCATTTTCCCTACCTTAATTCTCCTTTACACTGCCCTCTCCGTTTGTATTTCCTTTCCTTGCATTAACACTTGTATTTTCCCTACCTTATCGTTTAATCTTTGTATTTTCTCCTGTCCTCCCCATTTTGGTACCTTGTGTTTTTAACTTTTCTACCTCCGCCGACCCTTTTTCTATTGCCACATTCATTTCTTATTCACCTGCACTTCTCTAGTCCCTCGACAAATATGTCCTAACCTCAAAAACCTCCCCACACTTTTTCACGCTTTTTTCCTCTATTCGGTTTCCTAATCCCCTCCCTTTATTTCCACCTATTCCCTTCTACCTATCCCCTCTATTCCTACTTAATTTTAGTAGAGCTGACTACAAAAATTTTAACGTCATTTCCAAATGCAAATTTTTGTACCTTAAGGGGGGAGACTCCGTGGCCCGTGTGCTGTGTCCGTGCGCTCACACAATCAACGGGAACCATGTATGTATACGCGATACACGAGAGAGACATTCGATTTCGTAGAATCCAACTTCTGCCTCGACAATTGCACAAATGCACTTTTCACTGGTATAGAACTCACGGGTAGACTTCCCTACAGGGTGGTCTGGTCCGTATAAACACCAATAAACACATTTTAATTGAAAGAATTAGAATTTTAGAAATTGTGCGATTGTGACAGACGCTTGGAGCGCGCGTAAACAGACGCACCGTACACTGTAACCCAGTCTGGTAGTACTTTTGCAAGGACCAAATAATATGGCAATGGTATCTTGAGTTTTGTAGCATAACGTAGTATTAGCAAAAAATTTTCCAGCCATTTGGATATGACGTTTCTGCCCCTTGAATTTTGACACCTTTAGGCGCACGCCCCCGCCAAACGCAAGATTTCCGACCAGCCAGACTGACGGTTTTGGTCAATGGTATCACTGCCAGCGTTGTTTAAGGTAAAAAATTTGCATTTGGAAATGACGTTGAAATTTTTGCAGCCAGCTCTCCGTCTTTTTGTATTTATTTATTCTTGTCACACAAAAGCTTATGCAAAAACGTACAATACTGAAGTACGTTTTCAGAAATATGTTCCAAGTGATATAGAGAACGACAATTTTACGCATTTACAGTTCGTATGAAATGTAAAAGAGATAATGTACTCTGTTCTAGGTGACAAGTGGCATTTTCGAAGAAAATTATTAACACCAACGTTTCACAGTGGTCTTCTAGAGGTGTACTTAAAAACAGCAATTAGAGAAGCCACGATATTAATTTCCTGTCTGAGAAAAGAAGTCGGAAAACCCTCTTTCGATATAGTCCCCTACGCAAAACGAGCCACACTAGACATAATATGCGGTAAGTGAAATTAATTGTGTATTTTTCTAAATAATATACTGTACTGTCTCGAAAATTTCGAATGTCAAATGCCTTCCATTTCTGACGCGTGAACCTTCAAAGCAGTGACTCTCATTGCACCCATAATTCACCTATTTATTTATGATAATACTTTTTTTTCTCTTCCCTATTTTTTATGTATCTTTTACCACTGAGTCATTGTGAACTGAAAGTGAGAAACTGAAGGTGTTGAAATTAAAAAAAAATACAACAGCACTCGGATAACTTTGTTATAGTTCTGATCACTGTAGTACTCTGTTGTGTTGAAGACTTCAGGTTTGGAAATTTTAACTTATTCGCTACTGATGGCATCTTTATATAGTGTAAGTATAATATATATTTTTAGAAAAAATTAGCCTGTTTTTTTTTAGCACATTCACGATTGTATTGTTATATAAATATGTTCATCGCCAGAGTCAACAGACACAGTTTATTTAAACATGTTGCGATTCGCTAATCTTTTGCTGTTTGCTTTTCGACTTATTTTTGGACTTGAAATCGACCAAAATAATAGTTCTATCAGAGTTTGATGCTTTCGGTGGACACTGTTTTTCCCTCGCTTTTCTTCTTCTTGTCTTTCCAGCATTTCTGTCGTATTCGTGAACCCGTTTCCTCTTTGCGTATCTAACGCGATACCTATAGTAATACAGTTTGTTTCTTAGAAAACATTAATTCAGATTCACACTAGCGGTCGTAGCCGACAGTAGCGAAAGTGTTAAGCGTGTATCAAGCAAGCCTTTCCAATTCCATATCGGTAATATACTTATTTGACACAGTTCAATTCCTATTCTAATAAAATAATATTTGTAGCGTCGATAAATCATTAATTTCAATTAATTTGACATTTACAACAGATGTTACACTTATTATTAATTCTTCTTGTTTTTCTTTGTTACTAGCTACTTAATTTGTTTATAAGAAATTAGTGGTAACAATAGAAGAAAAATTATGGTTATGACTTATTGAGAAAGATGTCTTTCTTCAACACGGCGATCATGTAAATGTAATTATAATATACTGTATATCGCCCGTAAACGATTAACACTTTAAAGTAAAACATATATCTATACAATACCATGATTTACTTCCATACAATTTCTTTCTTCTCTTAGATTTCACTCTCCGTTTCTTTTTCGGCTTTGATAACTCAATTATCCGTTCAGTAGCTATTAAAAATATTACAGTTTTAAATTATTGAATTACAAAAATCACATTGTTTTAATACAAAATTAGTTAACGATCCCATCGGTTCAACTTACATACGTACGTCAATAATTAAATATTGCATACTGCCAATTTTTTCTAGGTCAAGGTCACTCAGGACGTTGACCTTGACAAAATAGTTAAGGTCAAGGTCATACACAGGATTGCCCTTTTTCTACATAATTACCCATACAGAACAAAATACAGTATACAATATCGAATATATTTTTGCGAATATCTCGGGAACTAAAGCCGAGCAGCGGTAACATGTACAGGGAAAAGTTATTCCGAATGATGACCTTGACAACATATTTCAAGGTCATTGAAATCGGTGAAGATGGACCTACTCCGAATAATTACCAATACTTTAAAAATATAATGGAAGGGCTCACGAAAAAACGACCCTCGTCAATTTTCTCGGTTTTCGTGATAACAATAGATTCTAGTAGTCAGAAGAAAGACTTACAACGTGATGGATCGTAAATATACGGTTGATATTAATAAAAAACGACCTATGTCCTGATTTATTCTGAAAAGGAAATAGATCGAGGTCAACTTGTCGAAGAAGTACTTCGTCACCGATTTCGATGATTTTTTAATGTTGTAGGAATCAACATTCTGAACAACTTTTTCCTTTCACAAAAATGTCGGTCAGCCCTAGTTTTCGAGATATTCGCAAATGATTGTAGGTACCTTTACAGTGAAGGTAAAACTGCTGTTTAGAGGACTGCAGACACTCCGATGATCTTGACCTTGACATAAGTTGTTGGGGTCATCCTCCTAAGTGACCTTCAAAAGGTTTTAGCCACTGGTTATTTGTTAAAAAGTTATTAACAAAAAAAGATCTGTCCATATATTCAAGCTGGGAATAAGTAGAAACGGAATGCAATGAACAAACGTGTGTGCGAAGTCACTACCCAGTGTTAACCACGTACCCAAAATAAGAAAGTAATGGGACCGACAGTTTTTAGGAATATCTCGGAAACTAGGGCAGACCGACATTTTCATGAAAGGAAAAAGTTGTTCAGAGTGTTGATTTCTACAACATTATTCAAAAATCATCAAAATCGGCGAGGAAATAGTTCTTCGACAAGTTCACCTAGATTCTTGAAGATGTCAGACAATTTTTTCATGCTTCTAAAAAGAAAAATTAAAATTAACAAATGGTCGCTTTTGATATAAGCCCCAGAATTGTATAATCTCCAAGTCTTAATTTACGAGTGCTCAAGTGTTTAATCCGTGTTGTTTGTTAAACTTCATTATGTATTCCCACTATGCAACACGTTACAAAAGTATAAAAAATATTATAAGTAACGACGAATGGTACGAACCAACAGCATGAAGAGCACTACGCGAAACGTATCCAATCGGTTTGGAGGGTTGCTGATACATCACTCGAGGCTTCGAAAGCTCGATGATACGTTGCGACGCCTTAGGGATTTGCGATGTCGTTAAAGGTGGTTGATGTGTTTTCGGGTCAACAAGCCGAGCACGTGGTTGAGCCAACTCATTAGTGCGTTCAGTTATTTCATATAGAAGGGCTGATACTTTCACCTAATGCGATAATTAACAGGTTGTTTTAAAGGGTACAGAAGATTTTACACTTGGATGTGAAATCACTAAAACACAACAGTCAATCAAATCCCAGATAGCACATGACGCCTTAAAGACGTGCATTTTACGGCTATTTTAAGTCTAAGGCGCCTTTAAACCGTCTTGAAGGCGTCATTTGATATCGTGTGCTATCTGGGATATGGTAGGTACACGCTATTAATATTTTAACTAACATACTACTACAGCAAAGCTTCTAAATAAGAATCCAAAACAATGCATAAAATTCAGATTTTTATACTTCACAGCGCGTGTAAAAAGATCTACGCGCGTTACGATTTATCGTATAACAATTTGCATGATTTGGACAAAATTATACGATGACTTTTGGAAATATACCACCCTCGCCAAAATTATATTTATACAGTGTGTAACAAAAATGTTGGAGGACCCGGAAATAGGAGACTCGTGAGGTGATTTGAAACAAGTTTTTCCTTAGAAACAATGTTATCTGAGGGTTTGTTAACGAGATATTAACGAAAAACCTCGACCAATCAGAGCGCGAGTCTGCCGGCCGAGTTCCCGCGGTAAAGTTGGCTACAAAACCGTTCCCATACTTTTTCTGAATGGTTTCTGGCTCAGAAATGTCTGCAGAATCCGATACAGTGTATCAAATTCGTGCTGGATAAAGAAGTTTTTGTAAAAATGCAAAAATACTGCGTAGAAAGTACGCGCATCGACTCTTTTTTTAAACTTTGACGTCCATTTACAGCCTTTAAAAATTACAAAATTCAATAACTGTATACACTGATATAATCAGATAACTCTCCTCTATCTTTTGAGGCTAAACTAAACTTTCGAGCGTATTTAGTTTTCATTTAATACGCCATTTTGACCCGAAATTTTGCGTTTTTACGAAAATTCGTGTTTTTCTAAAACTGAAGGTGATATAGCAATTCTGCTTTTGGATTCGTGTTTGGGACGAATAACTGTATAAGGATCACCCGGTGGATATTGCAAAACAGAACCAAGGTTAAAATCTGTTGAACAGTGTTTTTGAATTAGTAATTATTTTATTGTTGTATTTGTAATTGATAATGACTATTTATTTTATTTCTTACTTAAGGAGAATTCATATGCGTACGTGGCTAGGTTCCAAAAACGTGTCGTCATGAATCTTGGTTAGTCTCGCATTTGCAGTTTTCGGAAGCATATTCAACGTTCTTCTCTGTGACGAGTACTTCGAAGATACAATCTGATTTTGAAAACCGCAAGATTCGGAAAGTAATTTTTCATTTTGTGAAATTTCCTGCGGCCTGGCGGTTGACAAACATTTTGACTTGTTTGAAAATGTTTTGCCCGCAGCAGTTAACGATTCGCCTGATTCCCAGTGCCGAGTAATTAATAATGTAGCCATTTATCATTGATATCTATAACACTTGAACAATTTTTTAGTTCAACATTAAGTAAATGTCTGTTTTTATAATTTCGTTATTTTACGTGGCTAACCATCATATACTATAATTTTGAGAATACTGAAAACTGAAAGTTTTTCACTGCCTCCTAAGAGTGTGGACGAATTCAGTTTCACACTGTTCGTATCCGCCCTGGTACTCTATGAATTCAGGCGCGATTTTCAAATCAACGTTACTACTGAAGTATTATTAAATTTGATTTAGTTTTTATATTATCCTATTACCACAGTAATAGGATAGTTCTTGTGTTGTTAGCTGCTCGGATGCAAAAATAGTATCACCGCTCTCATTAGTATAATATTATTTAATTAAGAATTTGATATGCAGTGTTTACTTTTATGTCTACATGTATACATATATGTATATGTATAGTAAGACTAATAATTATAAGATTTCTGATGATGATGCAAATTTCAGTGCAACAGAATTTAATCAAATTAATTGTATATGTAATCTTTGTAACAGTAGTCGTATACAAGAAGGAACTGTCTTTATGGACAGCCCAAAATAGCAGAAGAGCAGTGGTATAGTCGATAGAGTAACCGACTACAACGCTGCAGATCCCGAGTTGGAATGAAAAGCCAGAATTTAAAAATGTAAATCTGTAAATGCTTCCCAAACACCTTAACATATTGGCATTGTAAAAATGTACCACTATTAAAATGGGCGTGCTGTATAAGTAACTTATGTTTCCACTGCTTTCACTATTTATTTATATCACCTAAAGTTTTGTACAGAATATTATAAAACAGACAAATGCAAGATATATAATATTGGAAGAGTAAACACTTTATGCTACATTTATGTATATTCATTACTTACTCATCCCCAACCCGTAGGTATTCGACCATGTGTAAGACTATCCTTACCGTTATTCTAATTGCTCTTTCACGTTTGTTCGATAATCGCAGGAGTCTGATTTGATGGAACAATATTTTTGCAGTACAAATACACAAAATCACTTGTAAAAAAAACGTACTTTACTGTCCGAATATTTTCGCTACTCACTGTATGTCGTTTTGTCTTACAATTGATTTATGAATTATTACTGTATTCACTCGATGTATATGTATATTAATGAGATGACGAAAATGTAATACAGAAAGTGGTGAGGTGCAAAAGTTTATTACAAATTAAATCGATTTGTTAATTTTATCTATAACTTGAAGTAGCAAGACTCACGTACGCGTCATCCATTTTAATGTTGCAGACAGTTCCATGGGATGCCACGTTAACGCACAAACGGATTTCAAGAACGAATACGTGCAGGCTGTGAATATGTAAGTATATCAAATATACTTTATAACCATACACTAAACCATATCTCCAAACTTGAACTTTATTCGTCCAAAAATAATTTGCTAATGTTACGAGAGTATTGTAGGATCATCATTATTTCAACTTCCATTACCCAAATATACAAGGTGTTCCGCTTAAAACAAGCCACCTAAATATCTTCTCTATCTGTGATCATACGAGAAATATTTTTTACGTAATTTAAATGGTTTCGAAAGGTGAATCAGATGGTGGAAAAATTATATGTATAAGTAAATTTGGAATTTTTAGAGTTCAAGGTCATTTCAAGGTCATACTATTATGCGTGAATAAATACATAATAATGTTGGCTATAACATACAACAGGAAATGTGCACATACATGAAAAAACATGGGTGAACTTGAACCATTAAAAAATTACACTTATAAAAAATGTTTGCCGCAAAGTTGTCAAGGATAAAATTATTGAAAAAGAGACATTATAAAAATTTCTTTTTAACACCAGTCTTATGGAACTGTGCTTGATACTGAGAAGTTTCAACTTTATATTTAGCTAGAAAAAATATTTTCATAAAAAATTAGGTAATTATAGATTTTTTTATGGATATTATGATGTCACGGAAAAAGATATGTTAACGATCAATAAAATGTATCTTCTATACATGTCTGCTATGAGCGTAACGTCACTCATTTTCCTTTAGTTTGTTCGACGAACTTTCCAATTTTTTCTTAAAAATTAAAAAGAAATTACATTTTTTTACAATAAGGAAAAGAAATTCATGTTTCTTCCATGTATTTGTATTTCTTTTCCATTTCAGTATTTCGAAGTAGTTTAAAATATTAATCATTCAAATTAAATTGGTAAAATTGACAAAAAGTGTAAAGCGCCATATGGAGTCCCAGCTAAATACGACACCAAACGCGTGAACTAACGTAAACATGACATCGCATGAATTCCGTTCCTTTCTTACTGGGCTGCAGAGTGGTGTGCGCGCACCTGTATGAGAAATACTGTGAGCGAGGGGCCTTCCTATCGTACATATAATGAGCGTGCATTAAATGACTGTCTACTATATTTTACAAACATTTTTCTATAACGAAAAGAAACTGATTCTAATCATAAGAACTTATTTTATACAAATAATTTTTGTAAAAAGTGCTATTATTTAAAGATTCATGCAATCAAATTGATATATCACCACCATAGTTTGTATTCAAGATAGTTAATTTTCATGCAAATATGATATTTTCCTTCTTAGACTAGCTTCTATTTCCCAAAGAAGATTTCTAAACGTCTGGATGGCTTTCGAGCCGATTTTCAAATTAACAACATGGGGAAAACAGCACGACCACGCATTACGAGTTACTCATGGTTTCGTTAACAAAGTAACTATTTTTATTTCTTCAATTTCTCGAATAAATATAATGCACGAATAACGATTAACTATAAATATGGCACTTAATAAATATAATTAAATTATTCCACTATTGTTATTCTTCTTCATAGATAATCGCAGAAAGAAAAGCTGAATGGAAAACAAAAAAAGATGGAAATTTTAACGAACGGATTACTAAGTATCAGGCTTTATTAGATTTATTGCTAGATCTATCGCAAGATGGTGAAGTGCTAACCGATGACGACATTCGGGACGAGGTGAATACATTCATGTTCGCGGGTCACGATACAACAGCAACTAGCGTGTCTTGGATCCTGTATGCATTAGGACGACATCCACAGTACCAGGTACTACACAGGGTGATTCTAAGTAACTGAGCCGGGCTATAGCTCCGTTCCAAATGAAGTTAGAAAAAACTCGTAGAGGAAAATTTTATGTTGTTTAACCAACTCTATCATCGGACTCTATTCTTTTTTTCGCAAGTGCACCAGAACATTTGCAAACAGCAATTTTAGTTTTTTTTTAATGAAATATTACGATTTTTTACATAACTTAATACCTCGTGTCATTGTGCGTATGAAAGGTATAAAGTAAAATCATTAAAAAAATGAAAACACAATACTATAAACACAATTACTATGTTCGCGTTGAATCATCACACAACTATCATATTTACTGATGAATGTACCTTTACTAATTATGGTACGTTTAATCGGCATAATGAACACGTTCGGTCCACAGAAAATCTATGTCTTAGAAAAAGTACGAATAATCAGTTAAGACACAGCATTAAGCTTTTCGCTATTAACGGTGACTATAGTCACCCAATGTTTGACGCTCGCTGTGAACTGCCGGTGACTTTAGTCACCCTTTAAAATTTCGCATTGATTCTTAACTTTGGTAGAGCAAAGTACAGACTCATCTTGATTATTGTCCTGAACTCGGGTTCGCGCCGGGACAATAATCACATAGGGAGAAATGCTTCAGACCCTCGTAGATTCGTTTTTTGCCCGAAACCCGAGCCTCGGCAACAAAAGCGGAGGGGCAACAAACTATGCGCTTGCCAGGTTCCACCCCTCCCCCCAGTGGTGGGGATAAGGCCTGGACAATAATCGTGTAGAACCAACCAAACGATAATTGAGAGGAGTCTGAATATCTGTTATCTTCAAAGTTACGAATGTCTTGTGTTTTGTGCTCCATGTTGGGATTGTCCTGTACAGTGACAGCGCATTCACGAGCAAAATGGCCATAGCGAAAAAGGTAATATGTGGTACTAGAATTGACAACCTGTTATTTCGATAAATGATTTAAAAGAAAGGATTAAAAGTAACTGTTTAAATTTGAATACTGAACAACTACATAATGTAACGAAAAATGTAAAAAATCCTATAAGAAATGTTTAGAATTGAATGGTGAAACGTTTGAGTGCGTACTGCAGTAAATCCTCGATGAGTGTTCGAAGGCTCCTTGGCACTGACAAGGAAGGGTCCCCAGATGTAACACTGGCTTTTTCATGAGATTTAGCAAACTGATAGAGCTTATAATTCTGAAGTCAATGATATTTGTTTCAACCGTATATGGCCATTAGTTTATGAAATATTTAATGTTAAATGCCGAGGAACCTTTGAACACTCATCGAGGATTCACTGCATAAGTTTTCGAAGAAAATAAAATATCTCGTGGAGTATTGTGTTTTCTTACTTATACCTTGTCACGCGCAACGTGATTTTCGGTCGGCCGTGCATCCGAAATCCGCCACGGACAAAAGTTTCCTTCCCGGTCCCGCCTTTACGATCCCGTTCTCGCGATCTTTACCGTGTAACCAGGCGCTAGGTATAGCTGCTTCAAAGATATAGCGTTAGCGATAAACGTGGCCAACCCTTAAACCATTAGTATTCGATCATCGGAGGCCTATTGTGTCCCACCGCATTGAGGGTTGTACGCCACTGTCAGCTATGGGGTTCCAAGGAATAAGGGTTTCTCGTTAATATCTCGTTAACAAAGTCTCGGATAATATTTTTGCTAAGGAAAAACTGGTTTCAAATCACCTCATGAGCCTTCCATTACCGGGTCCTCCAACATTTTTGTTACACCTTGTATAAATGGTATCCTTATTATCTAGTATTATTACATATAAGTGAGTAATATTAATCAAAAAAGCAATCGAAATAAATTTTCGAAACAAAGTATGATAGATATGACTTTAACGTATGGAAGCGATATGGTGTTAGTGACAGACAAAAAAGAAAATATGAAAAACATGATACGGAAATTAGAAAGATATTCAGACAGGAGAAAGTTAACATTAAATACAGAAAAGTCGAGAAGGATGTTTATGTTTGATTATTTGGTAATAGGTATACTGTCATACGACGCGAGAATTTTTTGATGGAAAGAAAAATCAGAAATAGAACAGATTCAGATAAAGTATTTGAAGTGGTGCCTGGGACTAGGTTATTGCACTCCTGGATATATGGTGTTAGAGGGAACAAAGAGGGAAAAGATCCGAATTAAAGCAGGAAAAAGAGCTTCGAGGTACGAAGACGGTATTATAAATGGAAAAGGAAGAGTGTTAGTCAAGGAGTATCTGGAGAAAAAGAAAAGAAAATGGGGGAAACGAAAAATAGTAGAGAAAGAGAGAAATACTTATGGAAAAATAGATACAGCTAGTTAGGAGTAGAAAATATTTTTTATATCTAAAAATTAGGATGGAAAATTGGTGGGGACTGATGCTCCAGTTCCATATATGGTCATGAAAAATTCTCTACAGGAGAGAGGTCCTTTTAGGGAACTACCACTACCCTGCAGGAAAGATATTCTTCTACGAAATCATAACTTCCTCATGTCGCTACAGCTGACGCAAGATAGTCTAAACAAGCGTAATTCCAGCTTCGAAAAGAATTATACAAAGCTTCGGAAGGAGTTTGGATGTAACAACGTTTGCTCGATATTTTGAATATAGTGGGCAGATTACTGTAATTCAATGTTTTACGTGTTAAGAATATCAGTATCATTATTACTGCAACATTGTTAATATAAAAAAAATATAAAGACTTAATTAAATTTTATGAATTTACTTTTCCCTCCAGGACAAAATTCTTGACGAGTATAATAGTGTGGCCGGTACAAAGGAATTATCATTAGATATATTAAATAAACTGACATGGTTGGAAGCATGCATAAAAGAATCTTGGAGAGTCTATCCAGTGGCACCGCTTATTGCAAGGCAAATCTATAACCCTATTACTATATGTAAGTATTAATAAATATTAAACTTATCGCTACTTTGTTTTCAATACAAATACATTTTTTAGTAAAATTATTAAATATATAAAAATATTGCATTTGTTTGTAGTGGGACACGACATTCCGATAGGGTCTACTGTTATCGTCAATTCGTTTCTTCTTCATCGTGATCCTCGATATTTTCCAGAACCAGATACTTATCGACCAGAACGATTCCTTCCGGATGGACCAAAGTACCCCTCTTATGCTTTTATACCGTTCAGTGCTGGATCACGGAATTGCATAGGATGGAAATACGCTACGATGATAGTGAAAGTGCTTATTCTTTTCATGTTAAGAAATTTCCGTGTAGAAGCATTAGATACTGAAGACCAGCTTCGTTTCATTAGCGAACTGGTACTGCATAATGCTGACGGACTGCGTCTAAAAATAAGCCCAAGAAAGCTGGAAACTTCAACTTGAATTGTTTAACGGAGTACGCATGGCCTATTCGACTCGCGGTTTTAATGAACTTGTACAAATGTTATGAAGGTGACTCCAATTGGGTTGCGACTAAGAGAGAACTATAATGGTATATATTATTCACTGCAGTTAAGAGTGGAATAAAACACAACAACAATAGAGGCGCATGAAGCTCATCTCCTCCATTCTTCCAAACAAACATACGTATTGAATTCCTGTGCATTCAAATTACAAACACATTTCTCTGAACATTTTTCTTATTCAGTTGATAGCATAATAACCAAGTAAAGTTTATAAAAAGTCGATTTTCAGCGAATATTGCAATGCCATGATACGTTCCGGCAAAAGCCAAGTGGATTTGTTGTATTATGCTCCATCTTTGATTGGAATGAATAGTATTTAAATAGTAACGTAGCAAATCCATCAGGTTCATGAATATGATCTTCATATTCATATCACATATTCCCAATGGCTTTCTCTCTACATAGGTGTATGTGTGTGTTTTTAGAAAAAACTCATTTCGCCAGAATTCTTGTGAGATTCAAGGCATAATATAAATTCCGAAACGTGAACAAGTTGTATATTAAATTTACATACAGGTTGTCCCAAAATAGCTTCGACTCCCGAAACGGAGAGGTTCCTAGAATGATTTGAAACAAGTTTTTCCTTAGCAAAAATGTTCTCCGAGGCTTTGTTAAGGAGATATTAATGAAAAACCCCAACCAATCAGAGCGCGAGTCTACCGGCCGAGTTCCTGCGTTAGCGTTGGCTACCAATCGCAGCGCGTAGCCAAGGCTACCGCGGACGCTTGGCCGGCAGAGTCGACCTCTGATTGGTTGGGGTTTTTCGTTAATATCTCCTTAACAAAGCCTCGGAGAACATTTTTACTAAGGAAAAAGTTGTTTCAAATCATCTCAGAAACCACCCATTTCACAGACTTACAACTATTTTGGTATACCCTGTATATGTTAAAAAAGACTCATTATGTATTTAATTATGTTTAACAATTATTATTAAAATATAACTACATATATGATTCGTCGACTCTTCTGAGGCAAAACCCATACAAACTTTTGCATTGCTCCAATCGTTTCTTGTTCACACTAGCATGTAACAACTAAGAAAAAATATGGGAAAGACGTAGAATAGATTTATGGGTCAGTTTGGACTCGGAATTCATCGTACACAGCAGTAAAACAGTCCGCCATTCGAGGGTTAAAGTGATTGCATAAATTACTAGCCACTGTATTTAAAGTTACAAATCTTCGATGAACCCCTGGTTACCTGAATCATGACATATGCAACTGACGACCGAAACTCTGATAGTGTTTTCACTTTACTCTCTTATTTTACATACTCGTTTCAATAGACACTGCGAGCTCGACCTATTTGTACTTACCTAATAACTTAAAATTAAAATATAATTTAATATAGTAAATATAATTAGAGGATACTTCAAACGTTTTATCTACTAATCACTTTGTAAAAAGCGTTATACAAAAAGGCTGATTTTTTTGTATATCATCTCTGACACCAGGAACGTTTATAATTTATGGTACCATTGACGACATTCATTTAACATGAAACAATTATTTAAGGAAATTAGATTAAAGCTATTCATAATATTTAAATACATTACTTTCAATATACAGGTTTACTATCTTTTAATTATATACATAATATCATAGGATTATCGGCACATTATATCAGTAAACATTTTTTACATTTAGTAATTATACTGTATCCGTATTGTGTATATTGTATAAACGTACAGGCAAAGAGTAATGCATGTTATTTTCAACGAGTAATATTTCTATTATGTATTTATTTCATACTTTCCAAAAATAGAGTTCTGCAACGAACAAATTCGTGGCTTGACTAAAAGTGGTGGATATTTTGGTCTGGTGTCTGTGTTTTGAGTGGTTGACTCTGCTAAATTAGTAAGAGACAGCAAGTCCTCCAAAAGCAACCCGTCTCTTTTCTGAAGTTGGGACGCTGGCCCAGGCTGACGCGCAGTCAAGAGTTCTATAGCCGGGATTCATAGTCTCGGCTTATTCTTAAGCAAATGCTTAAGTCCCCAGTTATGAATGTGTACTCCATACGTATACACGTATATATTCATAACTGGAGTGACTATGAATCCCGGTCTATGTCTATATCTGTGGATTGACTTTGGGCCAAATCGCAGTGTGCAAACTTGATGTTGCAGCACTTGCAATCTAATACGTACATATTAACAAATTGTAATATGTTTATATCAATTAATGGTAAAATTTACGTTTCGGGAAGGCAGCTCCGATAACGTTGGCCTTGACATATGTTGTCAAGGACACGCTCCTGAATAAACCTCAAAAGGTTTTAGGACATTTTCCAAACGAATTTCGCTCTCGCACGAAGTAATTTGGGAAAGTGTGATAACGCAGTGTAAGATATAAACAGCTTGTATCGCCAGTTACAATGAACAAATTAAAAAAGTTAACCCAAACCTAACCCAATACAGATTATCCAGCTGTCCAACAATTAATATCCCAATGATTTAGGTTTGTGTTAGGTTTGAGCTAGTTTTTTTACTACAGTCCCTGTAACCGACGATACATGCTCTTTATATAAATCCAAGAGTTAACATTCCAATGTTTACGCTTAGAAATTATGAAACAGTACAGAACATTGAAAGAAAGAGCCCCTCCCCCGCCCATGTGTTAATTACCTTTCGTGTTCTATACAGGGTGTCCCAAAATAGCTGCAATTCCTGGAAATGATAAGGGTTCCTAGGATGATTTGAAACAACTTTTTCCTTAGCACAAATGTTATCCGAGGCTTTGTTAAAGAGATATTAACAAAAAACCCCGACCCATCAGAGCGCGAGTCTGCTGACTGAGTTCCCGCGCCACGCGTTGCGATTGGCAGCCAACGCTACCGCGAAAGCTCGGCCAGCCGACTCGCGCTCTGATTGGTCGGTGTTTTTCGTTAATATCTTGTTAACAAAGCCTCGGATAACATTTTGGCTAAGGAAAAAGTGGTTTCAAATCATCCCAGGAACCCTCACTTCCAGAATTCGAAGCTATTTTGAGACACCCTGAGACCACACCTTTTTTCTTGAACTGTCTCTCACCGACTCTGAAGCATTTTACCGATCGGAATTTGTTAAAGACAGTTTAAGCATTCTTTTGCTCATAACTTTTTAATAAAAAAACGTGCGACTATTAGAACCGTCAAAAACGTACTCAGGGGAGTGTCCTTGACGACATATGTCAAGGTCAAGGTCATCGGAGCTTCCTCCTCAAAACGTAAATTTTACCCAATTAATGTACTATTAACATGTTTTTGTTTGCCTAGTTTTAATTTTTGAAATATTTTCTTTGTTAACAAAGGACTTGTATATCTTTATGCTTACTTCTTCTGTATCCTTTATGTCTACTGAAAAAGGTAATTACAATGTTGTGATACTTTATACACTTCTACTTTGTACAATATGTAAATACAATATAAAAGTATTGTTTCTACTAATAAAATTTATACAAACAACAACTATAAATCCTCCTATTTTTCTACGAATATCCTACATGTTCTAGGAATCTCAGTTTCTTAACTCTTATGAATGTTCGTAGGATTTAAATTTCGGGTGATTTCGTTTACTATTTTTACTTATTAACAGGAACTAAGTTGATCTAATTTCCACTAAGTACGGAAACCACAGGAAATCACCTTGCACAGAATAAAGTCTAACCGTAATTTTAAACATTTGGAAAACGTTTCTAATACGCCTTTTAAGACACTACCGTAGCGTTTTTAAAAACTCTTTAAATGTTCCCAAAAAGTACAGAGAATGTTACTTTTACACATTCGAAAAATGTTCTGAGAATGCTGACACGACAGTCCACAATTGATTAAATACAAAATTTAAATGGTTAAATAAAAAATTTAACTCTCACCCTGTGATTATTCCTTTGGGGTCGCTTAAAACGCATTGTGCTTGAAACACCTGTTGAAAATTTGAATGAGTTACGCAGAAGAATCACAAGTGCATGTGCTCATGTAATACACGAAATGTTAAAAAATACTGAAGCAGAATTTATCAAACGATTGGAACAAAGCTTACATTTTACAACAATGAAGAACACGTGGAAGGGATATCTATAGAAGGAAGTTTTCAATAACTCAAAATTGAACGCATTGCTAGGTATAAATAAACGTCATTAATTTACTAGCTTTACTTGATAGTAACTTCTTCATAGGAGGAGCATTTTATTTCTCTAATAGGCATGTCTGTTTCGCTCACAGTCAGTTGCATACAAGGTCAAGTAGGGTTCCCCCACCGACGCGACAATGAGAACGTGTAGTGATTCGATTCCCGGTTTTTCGCAATTCACGACCTTCCATGAAAGGGAACTAAATACTTGATTATCAGCTCGTTGAACTCGTTTTAATATACACTACCACATTATGTATATAAAAAATATAGCATTCCATTTAAAAAAAGTAAATTGATTTTGAAATCTCTCTCACCATACCATAGGTACAAAAAAATATTTACAACGCGTAACGTCCCCCTTCATACCAAACAACATTTGTTAAAACTTTTTTTCGTAATATCACATCCTTAAATATATTTCGATGTATTAAGATAAAACAGTAGACCATATGAATAAGTTAACAAATATAGTAACGGTATGTGGAGGAACAAATTAAATACATGTATTTTATAAGTAAACTCCGGATTATGTAAGTAAACTATAATAACAAAAATAATTAAATCCAATTATGAAATTCAATAATAATTAAAAGAAACATAAACTGTTTAACAGTCATTTTAATTTAGTATTAGAAAATTTGATTTCATTACATGCTGTATACTGAATTTTAATTTGAGAAATTAAAAAGAATATTAAATTATTTAAGTTTTAGCAATGACGTGCAGTATCGTGTCACTACTTACTGAAGGCTTACGTAAATTTTATCTTACATATGACAGTATTGATAAGATTTTATATAGTGTATAATAGGTATAGTAGTGCATGAGATTAGCCGTTTCACTCAAAGAAGACACTATGCGCTCTTTATTCTTTGAGCAAGTGGAAGAAATCATGTGACGTTTATGTGATACATTACATTACCATGAATTGCGAGTTCTTGATAATTTTCCAAGTAGTTACCAACGTGTGCCACATGGTTTCAATATACATAGGATAAAGAATTGAAATAGAACGTGCGCTACTGCCTTTGAATATTGAATATTTTAGGTTAAGTTTTGGGATACACAATAACAAATATGCATGCAACCGCAGCAATTTTGTGTGTCTTCCTCGGTTGTTGCAGCAATGTTGTTTTTCTGGAGCTTCTTGTTAAGTAAGTGTATTATACTTATTTTAATACAGTTGTATAATTGATATTATTTTTATACAATATATTATCATCGAATTTAAAAAGGATTTATATTTTGTTGGAAAACGCATGGAAGTTGTACTAAATATAGTAACGTTTTGTTATCAACAATAAAGCAATAATAGTGCTTCTTTTCAGAGAAGATCCTGGAAGTGGAAACCTTATTACATTTTCACAGTTCCTTTTTATATCAATAGAAGGATTTTTATTCACTTCAAAATGTGGGAATGCAAAACGCAATATAGGAATAAAGGATTATTTTGTATTGGTAACCATGTTCTTCATTACAAATGTTTGTAACAACTATGCATTTGATTTTAACATACCTATGCCATTGCATATGATATTCAGAGCTGTAAGTATTCAAGGTCAAAGTGGCTTGATATCTGACTTTTTCAAATAATTATATTAATACTTATGGTTGTCTTGTTGTAGGGTTCTCTGATAGCGAATATGATTATGGGTATTATTATTTTAAAGAAAAAATATGTGTTCAGCAAATATTTATCAGTGTTTATGATTACTCTGGGTATTGCTATTTGTACAATCGTGAGTGGTAAAGAAATTAAATCACTGCAAGCTAAGAGTGGTGAACAAGTTCTTACAACACCATTTGAAGACCTGTTTTGGTGGATATTGGGTATATCATTATTGACTGTTGCATTATTTGTTTCTGCCAGGATGGGCATTTATCAAGAAGTATTACATGAAAAGTATGGAAAAAATGCAAGAGAGGCATTATATTATACGGTATGTTTTAACTTAAAGTAGTACTCTACTTTCAAATGTATACAGGATGTCTAATCTTCAAAATCTCTTTAGCACTTACTGCCTATGCCATTCTTTTTAACATTGGCTCCTAATATCTGGGATCATTTTACATATGCACTTGCTTCAGAACCAATGTATCTATCAATAATTAATTTACATGTACCAAAATTAATTGTGTACCTTATAGGAAACATTCTAACACAGTATCCTTTCAGTAATGTTAAAACTTTATTGAACCAATACAGAGTATCTCACGCAACTGAAGCAAATTTAAAGGGTTTTTTGTGCTGCATCACATGACGCATGCGTCTGCTCTGGAAGGAGAAACGTTTCAGTGATTTTCAGATCACCTCTATTTTTAAAGTAAAACTAGGTATATATTTTTATATACATCAGTTGATGAGTTTTTTAATTCTTTATAAAAAAAAGTATTGAGATACTAATATCGTAAAATGACTAATTTAAAAGATATTTTACCAGTAAATTTATAATATTCTGATTAAACCTACGCTTTAACGTTTCTTTTGTAAGTCTACTTGTATATACTAACAATTTCATTACGTTTATAAGGATCTGGAAGTCTGATATTTCGAAATATTACAGTCATGTGAGAATAACAAAATATATCAATTCATGTATATAAAAATATATAGTTCCATTTTAAAAAATAGAGGTAACCTTGAAAAGTCCGAAACGCCTCCACATTCGGTACAGCCACATGCGCTACGTGATACATTACAGGAAACTATAGAAAAATATTGGTTCCATTAAATAAAATAAAAATGAATATTTTTAAGGTACTCTGAAATTTGGATATTTTTAAACTGGGATAAAAGGAAAAATGAATTATTTATGTGTACAAAATATTTTGTCTAAGGATATTATTTAAACCAGGGCATACAAAACTTATTTTTAATCTAATTTAATTCATTTGTGCATTGTATACATAGTTCTGATCTATGGTTATCTCAAATTTGTTTAAAACATGTTCGCAGGAAGGTAATTGTTTATAATGAATAAAATATAGATAAATTATTATTTGTGTTAAAATTACTTGTTTTTATGCAAAATGAAGCGGATAAAGATAGACATATTTAATGTAGTGAAGCGAGATTCATCTCACTTACCTGTAAATATTCAACACTTGAAATTTTTGCTGGAGCAAATCGGCACCAGTGTGTCTACCGCAAACTAAAAATAAAGTTGGCCCATGTGTGTGAAATACCCTGTATATTCAAACTAAAAAATTTAATCCATTACAACTGACATCCTTAACCAACAATGTAGATACTTGTGCATTAGTTCTGTTTTCGTATTAACAACAGAATGCACATCTCTCACTGTAACGTTAGTAATAACGTTAAGAAAATTTTTATCTTTAATTTTCTCCATAGTGTATTTTCAAAATCCGTTTACGGTGTACCACTGGATTGGTACACTCCTTGTCTTTTTAGGAACAGTGATTTTTACAGAAATATTACCAAAGATTTCAGAAAGTCTGTGGCCTGAAGGGAAAGTAAAGAAGGTGCAATAATAAGTAATATCACTAACGAAATAAGTAGAATATTTAAAACATTTTAAATTACACTTTTTTAAAAGAATTGTTTTACTGAAAACTATAATGTTGTATGTTGATTTGTTGCAATTATTCTACGTATGTAATGTGTATTAAATTTGTTTTTTGTTAATATTAATGCAATGTCTGAACAAATACAAAGATTACTGAGAATGTTTATTTTTGACTATAACTTAATTTCACCCCTAACTGAACCATTCATAGACCAAAGTATCATGTATAATGTCATAGCCTATACTAACATGTATACAACAACATTATTTCTATTGCTCCTTGTTAATAAGTTGTTATTAAGATATCTGACCATTAAATATTATAAAACAGATCAGGAGCAATTTTTTGGTGCCATAATTTTTTTGTAAAAAGACCATTTACTATCCATTTTGCAGATGACAAATTTCTGATTTTTTATTTGCGAATGTGCTATTAAATATAATATTTACAATGGGAGCAATTTTAGATTCCGAGGGAGCAAATTGGGAGAAATTTTTTAAGATAACAATTAAGAACTACTAATATTCCGCGCCAACTATTCTTCGGTAAATTTGTAATTCAACATATACGTTCTCGTATCTACGTATCTGAGAAAATACAATTGTCCAACATATTGATTGCAGTTCATATTTTGCCAAGAAACACAATAGTACATTTAAAAAAAGTAACGTTCCCAGGGTTTTTCACGTTTCCATTAAATTTAAGAAAGCGCGGGAAAACTACGAAATCAAAAAATATTGACAGTAAAAGTGTTTAACAGGATGGGCTACGTGAATCATATCTTCTTCATATCTTTACGAAATATTCAAAGTTATTTTTGTTTCAAAGTCACTTATTGAAACATCCGCACCTCCTCCATGGTTGAAACTGTGATATACTGTTATGACGTTTAAAGCCACGAAGCTGCCCGCGCGTTATAACTGAAGACCCTGAAAATGCCTCTCACTTCGAGGATCGATTTGTGGATCGTTCAGTCGTTTCGCTGACAACCGCGGATATTTAAAAAGAGAGCTGCGACATGACATGAAAGAGACGAATGTACTACCACCGACTAGGTATAGGATAGACCTATCATCTTATGGGACTTCGTGTTGCATGTTCTGACATACCGATAGTGTAAAAAGTCAGGGATTTTCTGCTGCCCTCTACGTTATGAGAACGGTGAATTTATGAACTACGTTAAATCTAAGAAGGCCATGGTCGTGAACGGATTCTCTTCCGTCCGTTCGCTATAAAGTAGACGTATTAGAAAGGCGTCTTGGGTTCTGATCCCGGCGGACCTATATTAGTTTTTCTTCGTGTACAAAAAAGTTATTGCGTTTAATATTGTTTTTATGGATATGTATATGTATTATTATGTACATTTGAGTAAATTATTTTATTATTCCATTGTTATTACAACAGTTTAACAGTGACAACGAACGCATGCATATTTTCAAATATCGGACTAATAGTATATTTTTATTCTATATTATTACATATAAGTGAGTAATACGTATCAAAAACGTAATCGAAACACAGATTTTTATTACACCATAAACATCGCATAAAAGATATTTTGTTATATTGACATTTGTAATAATTATGGATGTTGCAAGAAAATCAATATTATTGACATTGTGGACATATAACGAAATATCACTGTAACACTTAAAAAAGTTTTAAAGTTCCATTTATATCATTGTCCTGTGAAAATGTTCATACTTCCAGCAACATTCATATTCCAATCAAAGAATTTACAGAATAAGGAAAAGGAATCTAAAGTAATTTTCAGTAGTTCCATACATCTTTATCTCGAATACTTTTCTAAAACATTCAAAGTACTAGACATTTTTACACTTTGAATCTCATATCGATTTCTAAAATAACCCTAGTTCGATATAATATAGAACGTGGTTTTATGAGATAGATTCGAAGTTCGCAGCCATTAGCTCCATATTGTCATCAGTTTAAAGTACTTTACCGATTATAATACCGATTGCCCAGGCCTCACCACGAGGAGGTTGCTGCGAGTGGAGGCCCAAGGCAGGTAGATGGAATCACAAGTTCTACATCTTCCCACCTTTCACAATAAACCTTATAAATAACTTAAATCTTAACTATGTAATACTATCGGTACTAAAATCCCTCGGCGGATGACTTCTTTCTTGAGCCTAAACCTATAAAAAACTAAGTTCCCTCGTCGGTTGTCTTCGTTCTTCAGCTTAGAACTAATATTATCTTAATATTCTAATTAATACGAATTAATGCTATTAATACAAAATAACTTAAACTAAACGCAACGTAGTCGCTAATACTCAAACGAAAGAGATAGACGGAATGGAAAAAGTTCCATCGATCATTTCGTTTACGCACCTAATATTCTATATACCAAGCAGTTATTAAGTCTACGATGAACTACGCGTTAAACTACAGTATGAACAAGTATCGCGATGAAAGTGTTGTCGCCAGAACCTGGTTTAAGAAAATAGGAAAGACGGGCGACACCTCGCTAACCCGGATCCATCTTTTACTGTCATGGAGCTTTGGGCTGGTCACCTGCGTACCAGGCCCGAACCAAAAGAGTACACAAGCATGGTAGTGCAAGTGAGATTCTCTGTTAAACAGAGTCCGTTTACGGAGCAGCCTCCCGACTACTTCGTACCCTGGCACGCACGAGCCTTTCTCCAAATCCTACTTACCAGGCAAAGACTAAACACGTCCGATATCTGGCTTCTCAATAGAAACCAGAGGGATCGGCAAACAGTCTTAGTGCACAGGCCCACTGCCCGTACCATAGGTACAGACCCACTGCCCGTACCCCAAGTCTGTGTAGAGAATCAACGAGCAAAATGAATTAATAATAACTTGGTATGCACAATGGATGGTCACAATTTAAGTCTATTAATAGATAGACTAAAATTAATAATAAACGATGTGATGATGAATATGAATATAACAATGAATATCGAATTATGATTTAAGTTTAACTTACAGTAACTTAACGCAGTGGTAGACGCACGCTTTGAAGATGTAGACGTTGATCGATGTCTTCTTTCGATGGAATAACTGTTTGGAAAAATATTTTTCATTATACAATACACATAGAATACATAATATGCACAGTAAATAAATCACAGTAAATGAATCACAGTACATAAGAAAATAAATATCAAAGTCAATGGTTCTCGAACATCTGTAACATACAATGGATTAGTAACAAGAGAGTTGACACAACAATATGCACAGTAAATAGATTAATAATATACACAGTAAATAAATCACAGTATAGAAAGCAGAGTAAATAAGTCAGAGTAAATGAATCACAGTACGCAAGAAAATAAATATCGAAGCCAATGGTTCTCGAACATCTGTAACATACAAGGGATTAGTAACAAGAGAGGGGACACAACAGTATGCACAGTAAATAAATTAATAATATGCACAGTAAATAAATTGATGGTTGTCGAATGCCTGCAACAAACAATGGGTTAGTAACAAGAGAAAGGACGAGTAGGAGACGCGCGCCCAACCTCCGCGACGGCTGACGAGAAAGTGAGAAAGCTAACGCCGGTATGTATTGGGCGTACGCAACGTCACTAGTGCGTTGGACCGACGGAGAGCACCGATACCGCGGCACGCTCTACCGTACTCTCTCGCTCGCACACCTACCCTCATAGACCACTGAAATTCCTCAGCACGCGTCGACACCGACGGAGAGCACCGATACTGCGGCTCGCTCTCTCCCTTTCGCCCGCTCTGACCATCTTCGGCCTCGTTCGGTACGCGTCGACACCAACGGAGAGCACCGATACCGCAACTCGCTCTACCGCTCTCGTTTATTTATGATGTTCATATTCCCCAAATAAATATCATATTTAACTAATTTGTTTAAGCGACATGTTCCTTTTAAAGATTTAGCTCTCCAGTATAAATTGTTTCGATTTATTTACGAACCTAATCTGACCAGTTGCTGCATTCTTTGACACTAATTTTCAAGAAAATAAAACTTCTGTATTTCTCTTAATTTGAGAGGCACGTAGCTGAATATTAACATACGTGAATATTAATATAACGTGTAAGTAAATTCATATGTAAAAATTTACCAATTGCCAGAAAGTAATTGTTCGTGCGTATTAAAATTCTTACAATAGGCAGTAAAACTATTCACACTCCCATATAAATTATAAATATGTAGATGTTAATGAAAGCGGTGTGTATATTGTCCCACATGTAGATTTGATAAACTATTTATGAAACCACATCTATTCTGAATTTATCTGTTACAAATATACAAATGTAAGGCAAGATATAAAAACGAATAAAAGAACATGTAAAAAGTAACATTAATAAAAATGTCCATTAACGATGCATTTAGAATAAATTGTCTTGTAGTTAAGTGAAAAAATATATACTTTTCCGTTTCATGTTTCATGACTGTCATATTTATCCCTTAACCTTAAACTGAAGCATCAGATATTTTTATTCTCATGTAAGCATATAGATACACGTAATATGAATGGAATATATAACACTTCATTGGTGCTAATAATACTCAGAATTCATGCTTTATCGGTAACGTCGGATATTGACACTAAAATGGTAACAGGGCTACGTAGCCCTATGAACGTGGGACAGAGAAAAGCATTGGATGATAGGTCTATTCTGTACCTAGTCGGTGGTACTACCACCACTGAACTTTATACTACCTGGAATGCGCACTGGAGTGGGTAGAGACGGCCAAATCTACCTCTGTGAAGTTAGCCGGGCAATTATGACTTGTTAACGTCTCATTATACCCAATCGATTGGTGATCGCTTGGTGGTCATTGGTGGCCTAATTAGAACATTTGGTGGTCACGCGTTTTTTTGTAATTAACTGATCAAAATTTGACCGTGAAGTTAGCCGAAAAATTTTTTTTTTTCGCCGGATTCAGTTTTTGAAATGCTCAATCGATGCGTAATCGTTTGGTGGTCATTGGTGGCCTAATTGCAATAATTGGTAGTACTTAGTTTCTTTAAAAAACGAAAAAAACGACGTAGTCATCTGGCAGTCAGGGTACAGGTGTACCAACGCACGTACAAAGTCGATAAAATAAATATTTCCGGATAGATTGTCTTTTCGGAGGAATCAATCGATCTAGAAAGGTGTGCTAATGATTGGTGACCTAATTGAAACCTTTGGTGGTCATTAATTAACGCAGGATATATGAAAATTCGTACCTCTGCAGTAGGACTAGCATCGAAACCTGTGATTGGCTGAGAAGTGAATACAGGAATATTGAAACACATTTTGGTAGATAAAACTTATATTTCTTAACCGATTTTGCTTTGCGAAGGCTAAGTCGAAGCAGAAACGCCTTCTACTAATTGGTGGCCCAATTAGAACATTTGGTGGTCAAGCGTTCTTTTGTAATCAAATGATCAAAATTTGACAGTGAGAATAGGGGAAACTGTTTTTTTTTCGTCAGCTGAGTTGATTAAATGCTCAATTGATGCGTAATCGTTTGGTGGTCATTGCTAGCCTAATTAAAACATTTGGTGGTACTTAGTTTCTATAAAAAACGAAAAAAACGATGTAGTCATCTGTTGGATACACGATACAGGTGTACCAACGCACGTTTAAAGTCGATAAAACAGACATTTCTGGATTGATTATCTTTTCGGAGAAATGAATCGATCCAGAAATATCTGTTTTATCGACATTAAACGTGCGTTGGTACAGCTGTATCCTGTATCCGCCAGATGACTACTTCGTTTTTTTCGTTTTTTATAGAAACTAAGTACCACCAAATGTTGTAATTACGCCACCAATGACCACCAAACGTTTACGCATCGATTGAGTATTTCAAAAACTGATTCCGGCGAAAAAAAAATTTTTCGGGTAAATTCACGGTCAAATTTTGATCACTTAATTACAAAAGAACGCGTGACCACCAAATGTTCTAAATAAACCACCAATGACCACTAAACGACCACCAATCAATTGGGTATAATGAAAAGTTAAAAGGTCATAGTTGTCCGGCTAACTTCACATAGGTGAATAAGGAGGCATACGCATGCCTACCACATTAACCAAAAATAAAAAACCACCACGGCGGCAAATTATTGGGCGTTGTTCTCAACACCTGTTGCTTATTCTTGGATTGTCATTTCATGATTTGAATTAGTTTTTAATTGTGTTCAAAGAAATTAAAGACATTAATTTATAAGTTTCTGTTTAAATTATGATGCTATTAGGTAACTACTCAGATGATTATTTAAATGAGTATCCATTTTTATTTTTATTTAATTTTAAAAATATTTGAAGCTAATATGTATAAATGTTCTCTAATATATACATCTAATCAAATATAATGTATCTAGAATCTAATATATTGTATATACATTAAAATGACAAATACAGATGGAACGTATAATAATGATTGGTTAAAAGTTAAAAATGAACTGGTTAATAGTTTTCATTTTATTATTTAACATATATTAATTTAATCTTTTCTTTACATACGCCATTTTGAAATATTTTGACATTTATATACTTTACTTTTTACCATTTGGTTCCTTTCGTTATTCATATATAATGATAATTGAGCAGGTTATGAACTACAACCTTTTATAGTTATTTGCATTGACCAAGTAGATTTACACATGTGAAAATAATTTCAGGTTATGCGTATGTCTAATTTTTATAAATTTCCTCAATAATTTAGTCTTCTAAAATTTTGAGTAATTTTAGAATACTTTATGATATATATACACACATACACACACCACATATACAGTATGCTTGTAATTTTTTATCTTCATATACTTATGATTTTGCATATTTAGATTATAGCAATGGGTAAAAGTGAAGGAAGGAATGATATTACAATACGTGCACGAGATTCAACTTTTCTTCCAAAGACATCGAGTGAGGCTAGTAAAATGTTAGAAGCTGCTTTGTTGCAAATGGATGACATCATTTCTGGTAAGTCGTTATATTTATTTTAAATTAAATATAACTGAAGTGTCTAATAATATATAAAACATGGTTGACCACCAGATACCATTAAGTCCTAACTGACTCATAAACCTTCTGAAAATGAAACATTGGCATATGTATTTTTATGTTTGTTTGACCAATATGCATAAGCAATTCTTGGCGCTTAAATAATATCATTTACTTTAACGCATGATTCTTACAAAATGGAAGTAAATCGAATATAAAATATTGGGATATATTCTATAAATATTTTATATATACCAGAAATACCTTATATAAAGACTGCTCTTTGAAATGAATTTAAAGTTAATAAAACGTTCTTGTACATATGTCCAATAAAGATTAATTTTTTAATTGGAAGTGGTTTCTTGTTCCACAAAATGATCACCAGAATGCTTGTGAAATAGCAGCCTTCATACAGTAGTATACATTTCTTGTTCTACTTTTCTCACATATAGTAACATCAGTCATGAAAATAATATTCAAAATTCATGTTTTGCATAGTGTTCTATTTGGTTTTACTTAGTTAGTGTTCTATATTATTTTTTTTCTTTTGTGTACGTATATCCAAACGAGTTTTTATACAAGATACAGGTAGCCATGATGGTACTTGATGTCAATTCAAAAGGGGTTTTATTAAATTCACTTGCAATTCACTTTGTCTGTTCTAATAAAATTCTTTCATCATATCTTTGTGAAACTGAAATATTGTAAGAAACAAATCATTTAATTAAGGCTTATACAATTTTATAATTAGAAATAAATTTTAAAATGTAACAGACAGTCCCAACAAATTTTGACTATGGAGATATTCAATGCTTATTGGGACTAATAACACTGTTCAAGACATAAAATACCGCATGACCGTTTATAAACGTTTCTGATAGATTTTTATGAACTGAATATGAATCTGCAAACCGTTTCTTCCCAGCACGTCCAATTTTCGAAAAAATCAGTTTTTAATAAAATTGCAAATGTTCAATCTTGAAGGTGCGTTGCGCTTTTACAGTAACAGTTATTTAGTTTCTTTTGACATGAAATACTTCTCTAGGTACGCTCCCGAACAAAACGATGTGAATAGTTATTATGTTCTAGACATCTAAATATATTTAAATAATGATGAATATTTCCTATCATGTTTTGGTCAAACTTTCAGGTGCTTGCATAGAAACTAATAATGAGGGATGTACAGAATGGAAAGATTCGGTAAAAGAGGCTACAAGAAATCTTGTGACAGCAATTAAAAGTACTCCAAGCCTTCCTTCTGCACCTGACGCAACCACTGTTGAGATTTTGCTGAAGTGGATGCAACCGGTAATTTAAATATTTGCATATATCAGATTATACAATTTAATAGTAATACTATGTACGTCCTGCACGAACGAGAGAGAACGAGAGCTCCGCGGGGTCGGCACTCTCCGTCGGCCTTTCCGCCGCGTAAAGCCTGCGTCTACACTATACAGAAATGTCTTGATAAGTGTGAATGCCTCGGTTCCGTGGTGTCACATTCACGCTGAGAGTCGACAGTTGACAGGATCTCGTCAATCAGTTTTTTGCTCGAAGCTCGAGCCTCGGCCGCTTGCCTTTGTAGTGTTCCGACATAGAAAAGAACAAGCGAGTGAAAAACAGAAAGAGAAAGCATCTCTTTCCACTCGATTCGACTACATGAGCCCGCCTGCGTCGCTCCCACCGGCCAATGGTCACATTGTAATCGCTGCGGTTCGCGTTCTCTCACTCGGTCTCGATGTGTCTCCTTCGTTCCCTTCGTCACACAGTCCGATTGTGTGTATACCATTTCGGTCAATAATAAAAATACGTATGCTGGAGGTGATTCAGCTACCATTGTAACATTGATAGCTCTCTAAGCATTCGCAAACACGTACATGTACATATACATTTCCCCGCTCTATCCGTCGAGTCCGTTGTGCCAGTCGGTGAGAAGAAATAGACTTTTTTTGACGGGTCGACGCGACGGCTGAACGAGGGGAGATCAAGAAAAGATTACATTCCCGGGTATCGGTGATACAACGCTAATGCACAATGAAACGTTTTTATTTTTAATTCGTTGTTAATGAAACCTTTATTAGTATACTGGTGAGATTTTTCTGATTAAAATGATACCATATACGACATAATGTGGATCATATTTACTCATGTAGAAAGTGTTAACAATTCATATTCGTTCATTATCGTTTCTGATAAATTATAAGTAAATAGGGTCCAAATTATATCGTGTTTGGTATCATTTCAATCAGAAAAATTTCACGAATATATTCGTAAAAGTTTCATTAACAAAGAACCAGAAACAAAAAGTTTCATCGTTGCATTTGTTCCCCTCGATTACTCGTCGGCTCGTGAAAGGGAAGCCGCCGCGGTGCGCCGGGCAAAAAATTATACGCTTGGCTAGTTCCACGGCCCCTTTTCCTAGTGGTGGGGATGACGTCTTCACACTTATCGTGGGCAAGCCGGCTCACACTTATCAAGACATTTCTGTATAACAAAACAGTGTTATACAACAAATTGTTCTATAACCTTGCTATACAACATTTTTTATAACTTGTTATAAGACTATACCTATCCGACAAATCTGTAACAAGTTTTTATAACATTTCGCGTTTCTTTATTAATAATGACGTCACACTAGATGGATAACATATAACTTGCTACATAACACGAAAAATGTTATGTCACTTCACGGTATCTAACATTTTTCTTTCTGTTTTTTTAACAAGTTTTATAACTTTGCTATATAACATGTTATATATGTTATAACATGTTATCTTATATGTATAGTGCAGACGCAGCTTAAGAGTGAGGGAACACGAAAGGGAACGGCGCGGTGTCGGTGCTCTCCGTCGTACGTGTTGGTCGGTGGACCGCGTGCGTGACGTTACATCACAATTTGGTCATACAATGCATACTGTAGAAGTTCTTTTAGCTGTACAAGTTGCGTGGCCACCCTGTATATATCAAATAGTCCGAATGATGTCGTGTTTAGACTCATTTTCATCGGGAGAATCTCCTCCGTTCAGTCGTGATACTTTCATGACAGTATATCGAAAAATGTAAATGTGTAAATTTTTGTTTGTGCGCGATTTCTTATCTGCTTACATATTGTATGCCGATGGTCAATCGCTGGTCTTTGACATTCGGCGCTCGGCAACGCGTTTATTCGAAGGTTTAAGGCCCATTTATAGATAACCGGGACATGTCCGATCAGTGTCCGGTTCATGTCCCGGCCAGGCCGCAGACCCGAATTGGTTACCGCAGACCTTGCCAAACATTCGCCGTGGGGCCACATAAACAATAACACCAGCCCCCACCACTCGCTTGTGTCGTCTTGCCATCCTCGAGCAGGAGGTGCGCGCACAAGCTGTGACTGTCCACACTTTCTGCACTCCCAAAGCCTCTATTCATTGAATCTTGGTATAGTGACTGTATGTTGGAAGCGGGACAGTCACAGTATGCGTGCGCACCTCCTGCTCGAGGATAGCAACACAACACAAGCGAATGGTGGGAGCTGGTGTTATTGTTTATGTGGCCCCACAGGCAAATGTTTGGCCCGAGCCTGGGTTATAGTATTTTTATATGTAGCAGTTTATACAGGGTGTAAGAGAAATGTTCTCCGACCCGGAAATGGGAGACTCGTGAGGTGATTTGAAACAAATTTTTCCGTAGCAAAAATGTTATCCGAGGCTTTGTTAACGAGATATTAACGAAAGACCCTGAGCAATCAGAGCGCGTGTCTACCGGCCGAGTTCCTGCGATAATGTTGGCTACGCGCTGTGATTGGTAGCCTATAATATATGTTATTATATTATTATAATTATTCTCATTATTATTTCACTCTACAGGGTGAGTCTCGTAACGTGACGACTTCAAATAACTCCTAAGTTATTTGTTGTACAAAAAAAAATGTTCAAAACAAATCTTGCATGCTTTCTAGGGGGACATACAGTGTTGTAATCTGTTTTTTCTAATTTTGCTTTTTTATCGAGATATGAGGGTCACCTTCAGTTTTTTTAAAATAGAATGCCCAATATTTTGTCTCGAATTCGCAGTTAAAAGCCGAATAAAGCAGTTAAGTATCATGCATTAAGAATTCGAAACTTTGCACTTTTTTCGTGATTCGAAACTCTCGAAACCCAGCTAAGAAAAAATATAAAATTGATAAATAATAATGCTCGGTGATCGATTTTTGTTGTTAAGAATATAAAATATAAGCAGATTGACGATCGTATGTGATTGGAGAAGTGCAGGTCAAGAGCATGTGATGCGTGAGAGCTTGACTCAGTTTTTTCAAATGTTATTTTTCAATTATAATACGTATTATAGTATTATTTATTTATAGTAAAAAGTAAGAATTGCTAAACTATCGAGTGTTAATGTTAAAAAAAAGGATAAGTGCATATATTGTTTTGTTTTTGTTTGCATTTTGTGTTACCATTATTCTTGTTAGCACAATCTCTTGAAAAATTGCTATAACATATAATTATAACTGTTGCCGTATGGCTACATATTTTGCATAATGAAATAAAATATTGGTGTTATGAATTCTTTCATATCTGTGAGTATACATATAATAATTTCCTCTAATCTTGTATAGATAGTACGGCACAGATTTGAATGTGCATTATTTGTACTCTGCCTCCCTCATTTGAAGGAATTCAGGTGATGAGCAATGTTACAAACATAATGAAAACTTATAAAAGTCTAATTTCTTTCAAATATTTCAAGAATGTTTATTGATTAAAGGTAAGAAAAATTGTGTTTTATTACGCATAACAACATTATAATGGGAATTATTATATGTAAATGTGGTAAGGGTAAAAAAGTCGCCAAATGACGAATGAAAAACAGCATTAGACGGTTTCAGAATGTTAAAATTTATATGTCATGTAATATACACAAAAACACAACGAAATATTTCTTTGATAAGTTTTAAATAATTTAGGAATGAAAGGATTAATAAAGATTTATGTAAAAATTTTGTCGAGACCAGCTCTTAAAAGAAAATGTTACAAAGCAAAATCAGCGCTTCAAGTTTTGAGAGTTTCGAAATCTTACAAAGTTTCGGATTTGAGTTTCGAGAATTTAAAAATTAGTTTCCAACCCACCCCTATTAAAAATCACTCAGACTAAGGGGCTAATATTTTGGAGAAATTAGTTTTTCGATACTATCATTAAATAATTTTAATTTGAAAACAATCAGTGACTAAATGGCAAAAGGTGTGCGATTTGGTTTAGTGTCGAGTAGCTCGAATGTACACATATCGTTCATTTTGGGCCAGATAATGAAAAACATTTTTCAGCTAACAAATGGCATGAAAATTATATTTCACATCCTGAGTCCATATTACATTCAAAACTTGTAATGTTTACAGTATAAATTATTACATAGTATTTACTAATTTATATCGTATTTGACACGTTATGAAATACACTATTTTTTAAGTGTATAACATATCATAGGCGTAATGATAAACAATATGGTCTATTTTTATCATGGAACATATTAATAACTATTAGAATATTTATATACATGTACTTGAAAAAATGTATCTGTAATTTGAAATAGTAACATATTGAAGTGTAGGTAGTATATTTAAAAAAATGATAAATAAAATATATATGCATGCAGTTAAGAAATGCAACAGCATAAAAGCTGAGTAAGGATCTCTTTTAGATATGCACGTGTTCCGTATGGAAGGTCTTTGAATTATATCACGTGACTGCTCTCATCGTGAGAAATTTTAGGAGGATAATTTTAGTTTCTCACGGAACCACGCTGTGGCTGTTTTGTCGAGGTTCCTTCCGATAAATGTCTTTCATTCGCCGAAAGTATTTTTGTACTTGATATGATTTAAAGAAAAAGTAAATAAACGTGAATCATGTATGCGAGTGAAGAAAATTTGTTAATAACTTCGAAGATTTAAAATCGATCATGGATGAAGAAGAAGAGAAAGGGCATGCAAGAGGTTCTATTAATACATGTTTCTGCTTTTAGAAAATTCAGTGCAGTAGAATTAAATCATTTTATGTTGAGTAATGATCAAAATATAAATTATTAACTATTTTTACATTCAAATGCGTTGAAAGGAAATTTAACACCAAGACAACACGATAATGCTTTCGTAACATATCTAACATTATGGAATATGTGTAACCTAAAGTACAATCGCAATATTTCAAGTTTTATCTAATATTTAACAAAGTTCTTTTATATTCTGCAATTATAATCTGTAGAGAAGATACATTTAGCATATGATTTTCCGTTCAAAGGAAAATAAGATGAAATTTGAAATTTTACTATG